ACCCTTAATTTGAGAAGGTAAATGAGAAAGTTTGCCAATGGAATGAGTATTTTTACCCTTAAAATAAGATAATTAGATAATATGCACTTGAAATAATACAATGGATTTGTGTTTTGTTATTTTAAGTGTAAATTGTCTTGTTCCATTGGCAGAATGTCTCTTTTACCTCCTCAACTCAAGAACAAATGCACTTATTTTAAGAAAAAACTGACTAGTCTAGATTTATATTATTTGCAGTGTTTTGCTTGAATTTCATTTTTTGTAATTATTTTACATTTTATACCACATTTATTTTATAGTAATATTTTATTATCCTCAAAGAAACTTTATAAAACAAGTTTTTCTTTGTCTTTTAACATGATAAAAATCCCAATTAACAAATTTAATAGTAAATTAAAACAAAAAGAAGCATTAGAAGCGAAAAAATTAAAACATTATAAATGGATAATACATCATGTGATCACAGTAATAGTATATAAATCAAATAAATCTCAGAATGCAGACACATGACGGCCGAAACCCATCCAAGAAAAAATGGTCATGCTGAATGCTGGTGAAGATTCTCACTCTAGAAAAATGATCTACAAATAAGTAAAAATGTCTTAAATTAAGCGTATTTACCCTTAATTTAAGTAGGTCAATGAGATAGTTTGCCAATGTAATGATTATTTTTACTCTAGAATAAGATAATTAGATAAAATGCACTTAAAATAGGACAATGCAATTGTGTTTTCTTATTTTAAATGTAAATTCTCTTGTTCCATTGGTAAAATGTGTATTTTACCTCCACAATCCAAGAACAAATACACTTATTTCAAGAAAAAATTACTTATTTAGACTTCGATTTTTTCCAGTGCAGTCATCCAGGTCATAGTCATTCCAACAAATAGTCAAATAACAAAGAACCCAAACGACTCTCCCTTCCTAAGGGGTGGACACGTTCCACTAGCCTCGTGAGACCATCCTGATCTCGCGAGCTTTCAAGGTTTCACTCACTAATCAGTCTGGAGACTCTCCGTTAAAGAAAATCTGGAGCCGTTCACCAAACGAACGTCCAATCAGCGTTGGCTTTGAGGCGGGTTGAGGTGTGACGCAACGAGAAGCGTGACAGTTCAGTCTAA